AAAGTGAGAAAGAGAGGTTCTTGTAGGTGGTCAAGCAGCTAATAAATTAGAGGAGCTGGGGCTCAAAGCCAGGTCTTCTGACTTTTGATGCACTGCACCCATAATCCTGCTTCTTCTGATTATACATATATGTAAAATCCACCCACTAAAAGGCCCCGCCTCATTAAGTTACTTAAAATAGAGGACTACTCCTCCCTCTTCCACACCCTTCCCTTACTGTGCTCATTCCTCCTCTCTCTGGGTGCTTGGATGTAACGTCTTCAAGATCGCCTTCCACATTCATTTGACCCTGATTTCACCTGTATGGGGGGGAGCAAGGTATGAGTGCAATGAGCATGACTGTCCCCACCATAAACATCTCCCCTGCTGGTTCTACTCACTTCTGAACTGTCATATGTTTTCCTATCGCTGATCTCTGGCTCAGAAAACTGGTCAAAGGCAGGCCATGGGGTGAAATCTTGCTCCCTAGAACCCTAACCATTCCTAGGAAGAGAAAACCGAGAAAAGAGTAGTCTAGGGACCTCGGGCTCCAGGAGAGGAGGGAGACCCAGCTGTGGAAGTGGGACGGGGGAGGGGGAAAGGGGACCCTTGGAAGGTTAGATGAATGTATTTCAGGCATTTGCCACGAAACAGCTAGAGGGACAGACTTAAATGCGCCAACCTGCAACACAGGTAGATCCCAACCCAGCCCTGCGGCTGGACAAGAGGCAGGAAGGCTGCGTGAACGTCCATGCAATCGATTCAAACTGAGGGGCATTCTAGTCCCACAGAGGCGGTGAGCTTTAGCTTTTTCCCTGGGGTTTGCCATGCAATCCCTCACCTTCCTGCTCTAAAGTTAGCCCAGGACCCCACACCCCAATTCCCTGATCAGACTCCTTTCCTGCCTGGCCAGAGGGCCCCGCCCCCAGTCCCCTCCCCTAAGTGCCCTCCCAGCCCCACCCCCAACACACACACACACACACACACACACACACACACCCCCCCACACACACACACCCCCACACACACCCCCCTACCTCTCCTCCTCCTCTCCCGAACCCCGCCCCCAACGCTCTTCCTGACCAGCTACTGGACTGGCCAGGCTGGGGGGTGGCTTGTCGAGAAGACCTCAGTTACCCGAAGTAGTCAGGTGTCCACTCCCCCCCTCCCCCCAGCCCACTCCTTCCCCAGAGGGAAGCCTCCACTCCTGGCTCCTGCTGACAGTGCCCATCTCTCTGGGAACTGAGAGAGTGGTGGAGAGATATGAGGGTGAGACCGCAGGCGGGTGGAGGGTCCGGCCAGAGGAAGGACTGGAAGTGACAGAATGGGCAGAGGGCACTGACCAGGGCAGGCGGAGCCAGCTGGGAGAAAGAGAAGCCTAAGCTTCCCAGGCAGACGCAGGACAGACCAGTTAGTACATACACAAAGTCACATACACAAAAGGACAGGCACTGATGTGGAAGGACAGACATACACACACAACGATCACCCTCTCCACAACAGTCCATCTCCCTCCCTTCAAGCTCCTAACAGTGCCCTCTCACATCCCCTTCCCCCGTCCCACAGATCCTCCCTCCCCTTCTCCTCCTCCTACTCCCCCTCTAGGGGCCTTCCACCTTTTGCCCTGGCTCCTCCCTCTATGGCTCCCTAGCGCCCCTCCCTTCCAGTCCCCCATGCCCTTCCTCCCCAGCTCTCCTCCTTCCCTCCCCCTTCTCTTTCCCTCCTCCTTTCTCCCCTCCTCCCTTCTCCCCCTCTTCCCTTTTCTCTCCCCCTCCCATCTCCTCCCCCCCATCCCTTTTCTCCCACTTACCATCGCCCATTCTAGGTCCTCTTATCACCTCTCCCCCAATAACTCCCTTCCCCGTCTAGGTGCTCCATGCCCCTGACGCCCCATCCCTAACCCCCTGCCCCTCCCCTTGGAGTGCCTAACCCTCTTTCCCTTCCTCCTCAGTTCCTAACCCCCTGCTCCCTTTCTCCCTCCCCATCCCTCCGGCTTGCCCCTCCCCTCCCCTTCGTGTCCCTAACCCCCTGCCCCTTCCCTTTAACTCTCTAACCCCCCTGCCGATCCCCTCCCCTCCTCGGACTTCTTTCCCTCCCTCTCCCTCTCGCTTCTTCCCCTCCCTCTCCGCCCTGACTCTCCCTCTCCCGTCTCGGGGAAGTTTCAGAGCCATCAGTCTGTCCGTCTGTATGTCCGTCGGTGGGTCCGCAGCAGAGCTGCAGGCAGCGGGCGCCATTGTGCGCGGAGCGGAGGGGAGCGGGGAACCCCGGACGCCTGGGTCCGGGGAACATCTGCTCGCGGCTGTCCCGCCAGGTAAGGAGAGAGGCAGTGCAACGGGCGGCTCGGTCCGCCTTCCCCCCCCCACTAGACACACACACGCACAACACACACTCACACTCACACACGCACGCATATACTGATGACAGCTCCCGGGGGTGGGGGCTGCTTGCAGTGGGGGTGGGGGACGCGTTTCTGACAGGGAGGAGGAAGGGTGTCAGGGAAGTGGGTGTCTGAGGAAGAAGGGCAAGGAATGGGAGAGAAGGAAGGTGGGGATCAGGGTCTGAGCAGAGGGTGAAGGGTGGGGGGGCAGGGGTCTGAGGAAAGAGAAGGAAGTAGGAGCAGGGATCCGAGCAAAGGGGGAAGGGAGAGGGGGAGCAGAAGGAGAGGAAGAGGGAGGGAATATGAGAAGAGGGGAGGGGGATGGGATGGGGGGGAGAGGTCTGAGGTGGGAGGGGCAAGGGATTAAAGATTGAAAGAGATGGGGGGGTGGAAGGGAAAGAAGGGAAAGGGTCTAAGGGGGGAGGATATGGGACAGAAAAGGAAGGATGATCTAAGGGAGGGGGAGAGAATGAAAGGTGTCCTGGGGGGAGGGGCGGGGAATTAGGGGAAAAGAGGGAAGGGTGTCCCCTGGGGGAGAGGCAGGGAATAGAGGTGTGTCAGAGAAGAGGAAGAGTGTGGGGGAAGGGAGGAGGAAAGGTATTGAGGGGTGGGGGCAAGGGAAGAACAGGAGGCTGGAGAGGAGGAGAAAGGGGGAGGAATCTGGGGGTAAGGTCTTTTAAGGTGGAGGGGTGGGGCAGAGATTTAGGGGAGAGAGGAGGGAGTTTGGGAGTCGAGTGGGAGGGGGCAGGGATCTGGAGAGAGGGGGTGGAAGGGTGGGGTCTCAAGAGAGGAAGCAGAGATTCTAAAAGAGAACGAAAAGGAGGGTGTCTATAGGGGAGGGGGAAGCCAGAAGTCGGAGGGAAGCTGGGATAGGGAGGGCAGATTTCTGGAGGGATTGGGTTGAGGCTAGGTAAGGAGAGGGGGAGAGGAAAGAGGTAAATCTGGTTTGGGGAAGAGAAGACCAGAAGGAAAAAGGTGAAGGGAGACCAAAAAGAAAAGAAAGGGTGGGGCATGGGGGGGCATATATATAAAGGGGTCAGGAAAGGGAGAAAGCAGAAACCCCTCCAAGGTTAGAGCAAAGGAAGAAAACTGGAGGGTGAAGGGAGATAGCAGGCAGGAAGGGGGAGGGGAAGAGCCTGCCTCTGGGAGGAGGTGGGGAAGGGAAGAGTGAGTACGATAGGAAGGTGTAAAGGAGGCAGGGGGCCAGGGGCAGGGAGGGGAAGGGGCAAAATAGAGGGAGAGAACTGAGAGGGGGAGGGGAGAAAGAAAAAAGGGAGGAGGGAGAAAGACAGAGGAGAGGAAGGGGGAGAGAGGGGGAAGGGAGAGGAGAGGAAGAGAAATCAGAGAGGGGAGGAGGAGAGAGAAGGGGGAGGGGAGCAGGAGGAGTGTGTAGATTGAGAGGTGGAGAGGCTGGGAGAAAAGAGAGGAGTAAAGAAAGGAGGAGGAAGAAGGCGAGGGAAGGGAAGCGAAGGGGGAGGGAGGGAAAAGGAGATGGGGGAGGGGAAAGTGGAGGAAGGAAAAAGGGAGGGTGAGAGGAAGAGGGGGAGGGGGAGGGGAGAGAGAAGACAGTGCAGTATAAACTGGTTGAGGGAGGGAGAGGGGAAGAGAAAAGAGAGCGGAGGCAGGGGATGGGGACCAGAAGGGGAAGGGGAAGGGAAAGGCAGGCTTGGGAAGGTGGGGGAGGGGAGTGAGTACTGCCACCAGAGACAGAAAAAAAGGGAGAGGGTCAGGGGGAGGAGGAGGGAGCCAGAAGGGGTGGTGGAGGCCAGGAGGGGTGGAGGAGGCTGGGGAGGAGCAGGAAGGGGAGGGGAGAGGGAAGAGCAGAGGGGGGCCCACAAGGGGTAGGCCAGGCCAGCCCATCAGCCAGCCAGCCAGCCGGCAGGCAGGCAAGCAGGCAGGCAGGCAGCCTGAGAGGAGGGGCAGAGGGAGGAGGAGCTGGGGGGAGCCAGCCAGATTCGGGAGAAGGGAGGTAGGGAGGGCGAAAAGGAGGGAGGGAGAGTGAGCAGGAAAGGGGGAAGGCGGGGAGGGGCAGAGAAAAGGCAGCCAGAGAGATTAGAGAAGGGGGAGGGGGAGCCTACCCCAAGGGGGAGGGAAAGGGGGAGGTATTGCCGAGAGAAGGAAAGGGGGAGGGGAAATGAGCCAGCCGGGCTGGGGAGAGGGAGGAAGGAAAAGAAAGGGGAGGGGAATATGCATTGCCACTGGGGAGAGGAGGGGCAGAGGGCTCTTTGGTTTTGGGGTTGGGGCTGAATCGTAGGGTTTGGGCTGTGAAAGGAAGCTAGAGCCATCTCACACATCCCGTGAAGACCCTATTGGGAGACTATGAGGGAGGGATCTACCCCTCCCCCATTGTGGTTACCCCTCCCCCCCACCACTTGCCCAATAGGACCCAAGAGCTCCCCCCTCCCTCCCACTAGGCTCCTATTTCACTAGC